GAAAATGGAATCAATAAATTAGTATTTTGAAGATATTGGTCTAAATTCGACCAGTGGGCGAACACAAGTCGAAATAAATATTTGTAATCATAGCATTAGGCCAAGTCGGAATCGAGAGTTTGTTTATAATTTCATAGACCGACCTACATATTCGTCTAGCTCTGGCGAAGCACCGTTAACCGAGCGATAGCAACGCAAAGAGCCGTTCTAAAGCAGCAGACGGAACGGATATCCCATCATGTTGCGAGATAAAAAATCTGCACGGACACAAAAAACGCGCCAAATTGCACCAAATCGGCCAACCGTCAAAACAGAGCCGACGACCCGACGAGAGTTCACTGTGCCGCGAGTAATAGAAAAAAATCCAAAGATTATAGAAATAAATGAATTGTAATAATATAAAAAAAACGCCAAATCGCGCCAAAACATACATTCGCCGCCAACACTCGACACGGTGCGTGGTTATGTTCGCAAATATGTGTATGACGTCACGCCATTCGCAAGAGCCGCGCGATATGATTGGGCTGAATGTAGGGTGTACAATGCTCTCAAAAATACGGGACACATGATTATACTGTCCTGTGGTGTATACGGCATATACGGTCCTGTTGCACGAATGGACAGGTCCGGCCGGTGAAGAACCACGACCTCACGGAAGAACGGCGTGAAGTGTAATTGTTATACTTCTGCGTTTTGAAGGCATTGAAATTTTCAAGCTCTTTTCGCAATGCTTTGCTGTGTTCGGGGATAACTTCGTTATTGATGAACCGATTTCGATGATTTTTTATTGTTGGAAAGGATATATCCCAAGGGTAGTACCATGATTAGGAAACCCAGATCTGATGATGGCATCCCAGAGAAATCGAGGGCAATCCTCAAATGTTATAGGAGTTGACAATGTTGTTTTACTTTCCGCGTTATTGAAGTCGTTTTTTTTTTTTTGTTCAGAATTATTTATTAACAATAAACAAAACCGACTTGAAATATGTCGCTCTGTATTTATTTTATAATTGATTTTCTGGAGTTCCCTTCGTATCTCCGGAGCCCATGATCCAATACCAAACAAATTAATATGGCACTACGTGGGAGGCACCAGCTTTCAAGTAAAACAAAAAAAAAATCGAAAATATGTTCACTCAGTCGAAAGTTCTGAGGTAACAAACATAATAAAAAATACAATCGAATTGAGAAACTCCTCCATTTTTGAAGTCGATGAACAGTCTGGGACTACTGTCGGACTAATCCTGCTATCCTACTAACATTATAAAGGCGAAAGTTTGTATGTATGGATGGATGTTTGTTACTATTTCACGCAAATACTACTGAATGGATTCTAATGAAACTTTACAATAATATAGCAGCTATGCATCAGAAAAATACATAATAATTTATATACATATTTTATGTATATCTGTCTTTCTGTCTGAATGTTACGCCTTCAGCCTATTCTACGCAGACGTAGTCGCGGGCAGCAGCTAGTAAAGTTATATTTATCGGATTTATAACACATAAATTTATGATTTAATCTTTCGTATCGTGCATTATATCGAGCGTTACTTCACTCAACTTATTTATTATTTATTTACTTATTTATACTTTATTGTACACCAAAACCAACTTTAGAAATGTTAATCTTTAAATCGCCAATTGTTGGGAACTATTACACGTAAATTGCACAAAGACAGACGTCTAGGTCTGGAACAATGCCTATAGATCGAATAAGTTCGCTGTTCAAATCCACGAATCGCTTGATGAAGCCGATAACCAGACAATAATGACCAATAGACAACTAAGTACATACCAGGCTGACTACTAGTTACGGATAGAGTAACCTTTACCAGGGGACAACATATGCGAGGACTCCACACACTCTTTTTCTGTTGGACTGCATTTCATCCAAAGAGGAAAGATAAATATTTATATTTATCTTATATAATGTTTATGTATTGGAATTTATATGTATTTAATAATTATATGTAAAGTATTTGTTTGAGTTAAGTATATTTCAATAGAATGTACCTTTGCTTTTTTTGTTTTCTTTTATTTATTTCGCGTATTTATGTTTTGCACCTGCGTCAGCGTCTCTACTCCCAGGGTTGACTGGAAGAGAATGCTTATTAGCATTAAGTATGCTTTTTGTTTAGCCTTAAGTTGAGGTGTTAAAAATAAATTTTTAAATAAATAATACTGAAATAAAATGCTGAAAAAAATATAATCATACAATTTGTATAAAATTTTCATCATCACAATGATTTGGTATGAAACTGAAGCTATATTAAGTGTGTTAAAGCGATATAATTGAGAAATTCTATCTCGAGAAAATACCCGACAGCAATGATTGTACGCCCGGTGCCATTTGTTTTAAAAGGCCTGATGCTCGTACATAAAATCAGCGGAAATATTTTAAAGCGTCGCTCAAAGTTTTTAACAAAATGTCAGTAACCGAGCACCTTAGCGCGAACCAGTGGACAGTGCTCAATTGAATAATAGCCGCGGCCTCCTAACCGAATTCAATAGTCCCGACCGCATTCAAATTAATACACCTATCTATAACATGTACTACATATTGGACGAAACTAACAACGACTGATTTTAACAAACAACTCGCAGTATAAGCCCGTGAGTCTATAGCCATTTTACGGATAAATTCTCAAGTAGCGGAGAATCAAGAAAGAACTACAAAATTCAGTCCCATGAATCGTAGTGATTAAGAAATATACGCTACTAGCGGATCGAACAGACGTTGTCTTGTTAACAACTTATAAATAAAACAAAAAAAAAACGAATTGTGAAACAAAACCATTCTCGAATCGACCTGAATACACAAAAAATTTCATTAAAATCGGTCCAGCCGTTTAGGAGGAGTTCAGTGACATACACACGTACAGAAGAATTATAAAAAAGTAAAGTAAAGTATCAACCTGTACATATCCCACAGCTGGGCAAAGACCTGCTCTGTACAGAGGGTATCAGGGCATAATATCCTCCACGCGGTCCCACTGCAGATTGGTTGACTCCACATATCTTCGAATTTTTTTTGTTTATTATCCTCACGATGTTTTCCTTCACCGCTGAGCACGTGATAATTTGGCACTTAAAATCAATAATTTCATTGGTGCCGGCACCAGGGATCGAACTCAAGTTGCTCGAGTATATTTATTTATTTATTTATTTTACAATAGTATATTGAATGAAAGGCGAGCGCCCGGACACTGAGCTATCGCGGCCCTTAAATATAAAGAAGAATACTTGACTTACCAATAAAAACAGTCGATGTAAAGCAAGCAAAAGGACCGGAGAATGCAGCAAACCAAACGTTCGTCCTTGTTCCCAATGATCAGTTGGTGGCTGATTTATTGCATCGTTTTGGGGTTATAAACGCGCATTAGAAGGGAGAAGTCGCCTTGAGTTAACAGCGTATTGCCAACAAGTAGGTAGCCAAGTCTTCGTGTTCGACAAACATTAATAGGGTAAGGTAATTTACCTTAAATCAATCAGCACTCCGCGAATTTAACTCCACAGTAGGCAAAATAGCATATTTAATAGTATTGGCATTTTCTGTAATCTGTACACAAGTATTATTGAATGCTAAAACTGAGATTGGACACTTGAAATCGTCAATTATTAGCCAGAAATTACATCCCAGCTTCTAAATGGATTATTAAAAAAATACTCACAGCAGAGAAGGTAGCATGAAAACCATATTCAAAGATTTTACAAAATCTTAACTGTTTCCAGCTTTTTCTGAATCATTTCACTGAGATAAATTTAAGTTTTATTCTTTTTGTTGGCTCACTTTTACACATATTACTCAACTCTTTTTCTAGAGAGTTCGAAATTAGTGGGCCATTGCTGGGTCCCCCTGTCTGCTAAAGGTTTCTTACGTATCCCTTCTTTATTATGAGTATAATCTCGTATAACATCCGCCAACGCGGCGACCTAAAGTGGGAAAGCTAGATAACATAACGGCAGACGGTTACGCGGGACCGTTAGTTACCTCAATGCCAACGCGGGATGCCGTCCTCTTTTGGTGCCGTTAATTTATCGGACGATTCTTTTGTTTTCCATACCAGTTTCGGTCGCAAGGACCCAAACGCTAAGGTTTTGCGTTGGTGCCGTTTCTGTTTCTAGACCTGTTTTGTCCTCATCGCGGCCTTGTGATGGCACATCTCATCAAACTCAAATTCGCAATACCTTTATTCAAATAGACGCTTGTTCTTATGAAACGTCGAATTTTACATAAAAATTAATATTTATATATAACTTGATGACTCCGTGGCGCTGTGGCCAAGGTATTGGCTTCGGCGTCGGGGGTCGTGGGTTCGATTCCCACACGGGACAACTGTTTGTGTGACCCACAGATAGTTGCTTCGCATGTGGGTGTTCGTCCGCGTGAAATGTATGTTTGTAAAAGGTCCTTACAACACAGGATAAAGTTATCCCAAAGTAAGGGCAATGTTTTAAAAAAACTATGAGTTAGTAAGGTACCACTGGTTCGGAAAACAGTTTCGGTTAAGAACAGACCGGCTAGAAACTATGCTCTTTTTCAAAAATCTACTTACATCGATAGATAGCAGTGGAATTTCGAAACCTTTATGCGGCAGCGATCACTAACCACATTAAACTGCCTGCCTTTAGCCAGCTTTTCTGCAACATACGAGTACAACAGAGGACAAGCAGTCCGAGGCATCCGTAAAACCCCAATTACATCTACTTGTACTGTGATAACTTGTTAAATCTGAATCAGCAGAAAATTACTCAAGTTTACGACTAGTATGATTGATATAGATTCTTAAATTGTTAATACCGCGAAGAGACTGAGCCTCCGTATTTGGCACACATTTCAACTAAACCCCAACTCCTAAGCAAAAACGGTGTAACAGGCAGACGGACAATGTGGTGATAGGATTTCCACTTTACCGATTGAGAAACCCTCACAAATAATCACGACAGAACGAACCAGATTGTCGACTGAGTGGCATCTGGTCAGGTCGGACCAGATGCCACTAAAGTGGGTTCTGGTCTGGATCCATCGGACCGTCTGTGCGCGCGTTAATGTTTTGCTTTCGCCCGACTTTCACTCTCTTAGGACGTTGCACACGACCGGACCGCAATATACGGCCGCGGCGGCTCATGGCTCAGTGGTGGGCGGACCGGTGTCCATTAGCGAGGTCGCGGGTACGGATCGTGGCCGAATAGAAACCTAGATTTAAACGTTTAAGTAACGAATGATAACATACAAATCATACTCCTCCGTCCGCACAATTTTCGAAAGGGGTACAAAGTACTTTCTTCACGTATATAATATATATAGATTCTTATATGTGTATATTTTATTACAGTTTTTTGCTATGTGCTGAATAAAAATAAGTGATTCTAAACAGAAATGAACAAACTAAATAAATATATATTCACTTATTTTCATTATTCGTTAAGATTATAGGAAATCCTTACACCTTTATTATTATTACATAATATACAACAAAGTTGCTCCCGATGTTTGTACGCTTAGACCTTTTAAACTGCGCAACGGATTTTTATGCAGTTTTCCGGAATAGATAGAGATTCAAGCGGAAGGTATACATGCATACTGTAGAAGAGAAAAACCTAGAAATTCAACATCTACATGGCACCCGTGCGGATCCGGGGCGGATCGCTAGTTACCTACATAAAAGGAAAGAAAGTAAAACGAAACAAGTTCAACAATGGAACGTCTAAAACACTAACTAAATAATAATAACCTTATTTAGACAAACTCAGTTATGATCCCATGCAAACCGATATCGTGATTAATTTTATAAGAAAAGATTACGCGGTATTGAATGAAAAAGTTATTTTTAACGGCAAAACACTTTTCTTGTCTATTAATAATATTCAAATTACAGTCTTTTTAAATTACTCCAAGATGTATTGTCCCTCTTCACTACGACCGAATCAAATTACTACAAATACAAAATTATTTTACTTTTACCGTAAGGATATTTGTTGGCTCACAAAACAAGTTGACAATATTAAAATTCATATTCGTAAAATTTTCCACCAGCAAACCAAGGTAGGTGGTCAGACGGGTCACCTGATGTTAAGTGAATACCGCCGCTTGGATATCTGCTACACCCGAGGGTTCCAGATGAGTTGACAACCTTGTGAAAATTGGGCTCCGGACACCTCACTCACCAGACGAAACGCGAAAGTATTATACTTCCACTTTACGCCGGTCTTCTGTGAAGTCGTAGTACTTACCAGGACGAGCCTGCCCATTCGTGCAACAGCCGAGGCTGCTGCCTGGCCCTACCACTGCGAAGTTGCTTTGCTAGTCACTTTAGTTACTGTAATAGTTTGTAAGTTTACCAATTCGCAGTGGTATCGCGTGGTGGACTATTGCCAATATCCTCAGTACGGGGGAGGGTATCTCATTTAGGCTTATGTACTTTTTACTAAGCGAGAATTTTGTATTTTAACAAGTGTTACAAGTTAATCTCCCTAGTCTATATGCAGTGTTTATCATGTAACTCCCATATCTACCAGAGCCGTGTGCAAATAGTTTTGTTACTTGCACTTTTTTTTAAATTAAACACATGTTTTTTTAAAGTGAACCGCTTGAGCCGCTATAAAGCATTTAAGGCTTAGTGCCCATTCGTGTGTACACGCTCCATAAATAAAGGCTATTCAAATATTTTCAAATGGAAGTGTTTCATGAGTTGCGTCGCGTATGATTTTTAATTGCTCGACTGTTGTTTCGAGAATTGGAACAACTCCGCACTAATGCAATTGCTGATTTAGTGCCATCGCCAGCAAACCTGCTCATCATGAGGTAGGATAGTAGAGCCAAGTTAAAAAACTTGGCCCTACTCTCTATTGATTTATTCACAAATATTAAACCGTTGCCAAAATTAATGCAAAAAGTGGTAAACATACTTCGACATATATGCTCATAGCTTACGGAATATGCAACTATCTAATTCATCATTGTTTGTTATTAAAGACATTAAGTTCTTTGCGAAAAGTTTCAAATTTGTTTGCTTTTTTTTTTGGGTTCATTGTTATATTTCTCATCTCTAAATTGATACAAACGAATTCTACGCTAGTAATTTCATAATCAGACTAAAATTACACGCAGACGTCGATCTCAATCGTTAAAACGCATGCGTAGACTCGATAGCGGTTGACCTTTGCCACTTCCAAAAAAAAAACCACTCCATCACCTCGGGCGCCTTCTAAATTCTAAGCCGCCTTTCGCTCGGTACACGCGCGACTTTGTCGGCTAGACATTTTACTTTCTTTGGTTCGGCTGCCAAGCGATACCGGACCTTAAGGCGTTGCGAGTAGCGACGCAATCGCGGTGCCATTGGTTGGCGGCTCGCCTTCACCTAAAAACAATAATCGGTCGCGTAACGGCACCACCGTCTAACGGTAAAGGACGGCCGCGGTCCAGCGATCGAGATGCGGCTCTCGCGGGGCGTACATCGACCGTTCGCTGCGTCTTTGGCCCATCGCATGGCTCTCGCAACGCATTGGACAGCGTGTCACTGTACGGATCGAGAAAGGGACGCAAGTCCGTGTAGCGAGACATACATAGACGGCCCGTCACGTTAATCATCCCCAACGTATATGACTCCGTGTCGAGATTGCCAAGATGTTGGTTTCGGAACCTGAGACCATGGGCTCGATTCCCACACGCAACAGCTATTTGGGTGACGCTCAGATAATTTTTTCGGGTCAAAAAATCAAAATCATTTGTTCACCGTCATAAGAAACATAAATTACAACTATAGTCATTGTTTTTTTTTTTATATTAAATCTACCACCGTTTCGTAATGAGGTTCCTCTAACGGAGAAGAGACAGGCGAAAGAAACTCCGTAGGTAGATATCGCCTCTTTTTGTCATTCTTTTTTACATTCCATTGCGGGTCCTCGCGACACGGGTAATATTATCCTACTTAAGAGCGAAATCTTTTCCAAGACTACAAGGATCTTCTAGGTCACAGTAGTCGTTGGGGCTTACCACCCAACCCCTTCCACACAAAATACAAAAATATAAATCCCCGACCTGTAACAGTGCATTGTATATGGTGCTACTTTTATTAAATCACAGTCCAGCGCTCGAGGGGCGACGGTTACGCGACATACATGAGAGGGTCCACTGCATCTACAGCCTCGACATCGGAGCTCACACCGCGACTTGGACGGCGTGCCAGTTTTATGTTCGAGCGAGATATGGTGAGCGGTGATGGCTTAATTAATGTACGCAGCACCGATACCCCACATTACGTCCCGTACTAAGATCTACAGTAATAAAAGCCGGTTTGAGTTTATTACACGCTTTCGTTGCTACAGACAAATTGGGAACATTGCTGGAACGGCATTATGTCATTATCCTCTTTAAGAAGCTACGTAGAAACGTATCGAAATATTTTCAGACAAATGATGGAGCCGAGTGAAGTTTAGATGGTCGAATACAATTATAGTCTGAAGAGATCAAACAAATGACCTTATACCCGTAAGTGATCAAACCATTCCAGATATACGTTTACGCTTTATTTTTTTCTTTTAATTATAAGCAGGGAGTTCAAATGATGGTACGAGGATGTGCGACCGCCATCGATGCTCTTTTTTTAAATGAAAATTTGTCAATCGAGCAGGCGGTTAACCTGATTTTAAGTGATAACCACCGCCCATGGACATCTGCAACAAGCGTAGGTTTGCGGATACGTTGCCACCTTGTAATAAAGTAAGTCCCGGCTACCTCACTCACCAGACGAAACGCAGCAGAAGTGTAACACTTCTACTTCACGCCGGTTTTATTTGAGGTGGTACTAACCCTGACGGACCTGCCTATTCGTGCAACAGCGCACACTGTTGCGTGGCCTTACCACAGTTAAATTTGTCCTTTAATCTTTCACCGAAGGCAGACGTGTACCAATTTACAGTTTAATGACACGACAATAAATCATCCGATGAGCCGAGGGTTAGAACGAGATCTGATATTGTCGTGGACAGGAAAACTCATTAACTCTGTTTCTTGTATCGTCGTCTACGTCTACATTTCTCAAGAAAAGAAGCATTTTAATCCTTTAAACAATTGTAGATTTCATTTGAAGATTATATTTTATCAAAATAATAAATACATATCAAATCTATATCAATCATTTGTAACAAAAATTAAAACCTCGTCATCTGAGATTAGTTGTATTGTGGTATTTACACGTCCGCCGCCTGTGCATACATAGGATCACGCCCATATAAATAAGCATTAAACAAACACCCCGTACAAATAAGCCGCGAAACACGCGCGCACGTGTTTCGCGCGTGACGAACGCACTAAGGCCGCACCGCGCCGCGTGACGTGACGTGCCGTGATGCCCAATGCGGCGCGGCGTGACAGAGGCGTGGCGGTGACGCGGGCGCACACCGCCGCGGATGTCGCACCGTCGGCGTGACGGGCCTGCGGATTGTGGGAACATCCCGTATCTGGTGTTCAAACTGCTAATGCTGTAGCAAAACTAACGCCCACTCTGACCATTAAGATCATTCTGATCAATTCAGAGAGTTTAACCATCGTTTTGGCAACTCAAACGACATTTGAAAAGCCATTTGACAGCTGATTAGTTAGCTTCTACGACGATCAGTATTTCAGAAACCGGGCGGTGAGCGACCGATTGCCTCGATAAATCATCGAAAGGACATCTTACAGAGCGATCTGATCTTTCTCACTCAAACTCATAACACAATTGAATCTTAGTCTTCCACACAGAACACAAGATTGGCATAGGAAATATAGTTATATTTTTGGAAATAATTTTATTCTTAAATGTACCATTTATTATTTTTAATCAAATATTTTTTTGCTTTTTTTGTAGATTTAATGTACACGATAGAAATTGTATTTAAACTTTTAATTAGGACCATCTTTTTCTCATCCCACTGAAAACCAGCATTCACGAAGGTCTGTCAACCTTGTGATCTAAAGCTGAGTGGGGACTATTTTGGTGCTTCTTATTTAATTTTTAGGGTTGCGTACCCAAAGGGTGAAACGGGACCTTCTTACTAAGACTTCGCTGTCCGTCTGACTGTCTGACCGTCTGTCAGCAGGTTCTCTCTTGAACCGTGATAGTTAGACAGTTGAAGTTTTCACGTATAAAGTATTCCTATTGCTGCTACAACAACAAATACCACAAAACGGAATAAAAAATATTTAAGTGGGGCTCCTATACAACAGACATGACTTTTTTGCTGGTTTTATAGATAAATAGTACGGAATGCGAAATTCGTACGGGAGTACAACTCGCACTTGACTGGTTTTTTAGTATCTATTGTATTGTGTTTCATAATTTTGTACCAAACAAATGTTTCTCTCTCTCTTTATTTCTTTCGATCTCTCTCGATTAATTTTCTCAGAAGTGAAAAAGACCACAAAGTTTCTCGTGTGGGTTATTAGTATGCGGGCGGTGCGCGCACTTTCGATGTCCTGGTCACCCGGTCGCATACAAGTGCGGCGGCGGTGGGACCCAGATGTAAACAAAAATAACAAACAGCGGCATGTATGACCCACGGTGGGGCTATAAAGAGGCGGCACAACGCGCGATGACAAGCTTAGGTCACGTTATTTATGCGCGTTTCGGGAGCGACAGCCTTGTCACCCAAAAAAACTTTTTCATTTCATTTTTCATTTTTTTTTAAAAACATTGCCCTCACTTTAGGATAACATTATCCTGTTATCTATCTAAGCATACATAGGGACAGACAGACAGCGGGATGACTCTATTTTATACTATGTAGTGATATAACATAGAGGAGTATCATCTGGGTGGGTAGATCAAAGACTTCGTTATCCTGTAAAGCGGTGTTAAATTTTATCTAACGCAATAAGTCTTATTTTGTGACATATTTTCAACATTGGAAAACAGTCGTTTATACGGAAAACCTTTAAAAAAACACACACGTCCCCCCGCATGATTCACTCGATGTATCGCTTTCAGAGTAACTAAACTTTCTTTTGTTTACAAATATCCTGGGGCGTTCCGTAACGGAGACGCGAGTGTTTTCGAAAGTTATCGAGAAACCAGTCCGACATTCGTGTTCGTGTTTGAAAAAAACAACGAAAAAAAAAGATTTTTGTACTACTACTGTTTTATACTAACATACTGACCTAATTGACTGACATTAATATGGAGTAATATCCTGCATGCATACTCAGCTTTGCATGACTTTTTTAATGAGTGCTGGTTGAGGATTTGTTTGTCTGTTAATATCAGTTCACGTTAATGTGTATTTATATATTTATTTAATATGGAAAAAAACAGTATATCAATCAAAATTACATTACCAAGATAATAGTGAATACTACATTAAAGCCAACTAATCTTCTCACGATAAAAAAGGAAATTATTTTTTATTGTCATTGTATTGGTTTAGAAGACATACAGCACTTAATATATTATATAATGTTGTAAGTGCTGTATGTCTTCTAATCTGTCTATAATAATTTAATCTAAGTAGACACACACAGATAACATGTGGGCCTGAAGCTTCTGCGAGAAGAATAAGAGAAACTTATCATCTGAATTATAGTAGAAGTATATTTTAATATCTTAACTTTTTAACCTTAGTTATATTTATAAAGATATAATGGTTTCGATTAAAAAAAACGAATACAAATCAGAAAGCTTCATTTTTAGAAAATGTCCTTTTATCCCTGTTTTCAGGGAATGAAAAATATCATTCGAATATGACAGTAAATATCGCCGCAAAAAAAATGTTATAATTTTTTGGTCGGTAATCGGGCGGCCCCAAAACAGACGGCGGGGTTCGCATCACGATCATTTACACACTTATTTTTTTTTTCTATCAGATTATTTTCTTTATTTTTTTTATTTACAAAATACATGATTTACCAAAAAAAACCGAGCAAAGCTCAGTCCGCCAGGTACTATTCATTATGAGAAGTAATACTCAGGTTCATAACTCGTGGGCATAATCATCGGCAGCAGTGGGTTGGAAACTCGGCAATTTATAGTAATCACAAACACCACTCATTTCCTAACTCCACCTATCCAAATTGACTTGTTTGGATAGGTCACCGACGAGCCGGTACCTAAGAACCTCGTTATGTCTTTCGGACTGGATGCCCTTTCCTCAGGCGTCATAGATGTGGTAGGGCTACGCAACAGTGTCCACCGTTGCACGAATGGACGGGTCCGTCCGGGTAAGTACCACGACCTCACAGAAGACCGGAGTAAAGTAGAAGTGGTACACTCCTGCGTTTCGTCTGGTGAGTGAGGTAGCCGGGGCCCACTTTATTTAAAGGTGGCAACGCATTGGCAACCCTAAGAGTGATGCAATGTCCATGGGCGGCGGATATCACTTAACATCAGGTTCACATAAGGCTGATTTACGTAATATAAGTACCTTGACTACCACATAATCCATCTTTAACTTATTCCGATTAAAAAAATTTCTCGCCAGTAAACGAGGTTAAGACATGAGACGGGCTATTATTATGAAAGTTGTGAATTCTTCAAATTGCCAATAAGCCAATAATTTAACGGTGTTAGGGCCACGAAGCAGCCTCGGCTGTCGCACCGGGTCCGGGTAAGTACCACGACCTCACAGAAGACCAGTGTAAAGTGGAAGTATGACAGATACTTTCGCGTTTCGTCTGGTGAGTGAGGTAGCCGGAGCCCAATTTTCAAAAGGATGTCAACGCATCTGTAATCCTCGGGTGTAGCAGATGTCCATGGGCGGCGGTATTAATTTACCATCAGGTGAACCGTCTGCTCGTTTGGCAACTTTTCACATAAAAAGCGTATTTTCATTTTCATTCCATCTTTGGGAAATTGAATTTTAATTAGGCTCGATAAGATCCATAAATATACTATATAACAATATGTCATAAATATAACAATATTTAATATGCGCCAGACCGCAATTAAGTTTAAATTCTAAAGTTATAAATTAAATTTAGACTACTTAACTGTCAACTAATCGATGGGGTGCCCTCCGCATGGGGCATAGATATCGCACCAACGGCACGGCAAACTGAACCTTAACCCGACCTTGAACTGCGCGGCCTTCAGACCAGACGAATGGAAACCGAGCCAGTTTCATCAGCTGACGGCGGCCTCTCATCGGGTGACCTTCGACATTCGGGGCGAGTGGGCGAGCACGATTTTGAAATGGAAGCGACCATGTTGGGAAATCTCTACATATAAATTCGATACAGAGGGCGTCATTGATGAGCAACTGCTCTTCAGTGGAATCGTTGCAAAAGAGATCGGAGATAATGTATGATTTATGTATATTTCCTACCACATATCCATATGGGTTGAGAATTCTCAGTTTTGATATTTTTAGCTGAGTCGACGCGTTAATGTTTACATAAGAGTGAACGCAAATAAACCTGGAAGCATAATTGTCATATTGACATAACGAAAAACTATACCGTGATGGCGCAAGGCTTATAAATCGTACCGCGAGGCGGTTTTAGGGATGTAGACTTAATTGTACAAACAAATAAGTTCATTTTTGCTTGACGGCGTGTGACAACTGTTGTGGTGCAATTTGTTAACAATCACTTGTATGAGCGTCCGGCTTCCATGTTTTATTTATGTTCACTGTACTCACAACACCGAAGAAGTTGCAGGCGTGTTGCCCAGCACTGCTAGTGTGGACCACCCCGGCTACCTCACTCATCGGATGAAAGGCAAAAGTATACATTTTACTTTACGCCCGTCTTTCTACAGTTATTAATAATATTTGTTATGCTTCCTCCTCCGGAGTGGTTTGTGCATTCAAAAAGGATAAACAAAAGCGAGGATAAACAAACGACCTTGGCGCGGCAAAGCCAAGACAAACCTCGGAATGTTCTAGAAAGCAGATGCGCTGTTAAAGAGCAACCGGACGCGCCTCGTTTGAAGACAAGTCGCTGCAATTGTCCGCGTGCTTGGAAAATTGAGTAATGCGGGGGTACACACTGCACACTCGAAACTAAATGATTCATAAACGGTGACCCTACCGACAGTACTATACCCGCAGCTTAGCTCGCATTATCAAGTGTTCAGCTGTGAAGGAAAACATCGTGAGGAAACCTGTATATTTTCGAAATAATAACAAAAAGAATATTGTCCGCGTGGTGGACTATGCCCTGATACCCTCAGTACAGAGGAGGCCTTTGCCCAGCAGTGGGACATTTATATGACTTCACTCTTATTAAACGGTTTTATTTAGCTCGATCCGTACGGAATTTATTTGTTTATTTATTTGGGTCAAAATTAGAAATTGAAATTTAAGCACCTTCCCATTGTCAGATTGATCTGAAATTTGGTACACACATTTAATTTAGATGACAATACAATATTTTAGTTTTCAGTGCACATAAAATAAAACCGTTTAACTTAAAAGTTTTTAAACGGTTTTATTAACTCTGTAAAAAAACACCATTCGTACGACGTAAGCGAAAACTATAGTTGTTGACGCCGACACAATGTTACGATGCGAGTTCAACGTGCGTTGCTAGCGGTCGCGTTACTATTGCGAAATGAGTTTACTAACCGAGCGACTGCTACACACATTCCCCCGCGGACGATGCACCCTACTAGACAATGCCCGGGTCGTGGGTTCGATTCTGAGACACCCAACCAACTGCCGGGCGATGTAGAATACCTCTCTCGCAACTATCACCGAAACGGGTCAGGTGCATTATAATTATGTAATTTCAACGAGATTATAAGCCCCTGCTGCATGTATATGCAACAATTACTTTTTTTTATTAACGAAAAACACAACCGACTTCCAAATATCTCGCTCTGTATTCATTTTATAATTGATTTTCCAGTGTTCCCTAAGTATCTCCGGAGCCCAAGATCCAATACCAATCAAATTACCACATGGGGAGCACCAGCTTTCAAATGAAAAAAGAATCATCAAAATCGGTTCACTCAGTGGAAAGTTCGGAGATATCAAAAATATCAGTCGATATCAACCTCCTACTTTTAAAAAGAAAATTATCAAACAACTAAAAACACCAAATTGTCTCACATTGAAAACAAAGTTAGGTAATCGTCGATGCAAATCTTCCATCGTCTCACCGCTAATACCGTTCGAGTTCAACGACAAGTGGCCACAATGTCGGGCTATCTAAGCATTCAAGGGCCCGGATTCGAAACTATTTGGGCCGGCGACGCAAGGTTCGAACAACAATTAATAGACAACGGGTCACGCGCCGTGTCTTTGACACGGCCCTATCGATCTCGCCGCAATGACCGATTTAAGACAATTCGGATGCAGTTCGTGCATCGTGTAGGTACATTACGGGTCATATCGGACAAGTTGACGTGACATAGATACTTTGCAAGGGTGATAAACAACAAGTTAAGCATCGGTACTTTGCAAGGGTGATAAAATACAACAAAATACATACATCGAGCAACAAAGCAAACATACATTTGGGTATTTTGTAAAGACATCGGTAAATGATAAAGCAAGTAAAACAATGTGGCACGCATGCCTAGGAATTTTCTTCCTAAATTTAGGACGAAAAAACGTTTTAGGAGGTAAATTCAAACTAAAACTTCCTAAATGAGACACATTTATGATGATTTTTGGTTTGAATTCACCTCTTGGTTTGAATTTATGGAATTTTAGTGGATTTTTGAATGATGCTTTAGGTCTATTTTTTAACAGTGTAGACCACGGTGTTTTAATAAGACTGCTGATTTATTGTTTTATTTTACCCTCCCATGTTTTTAACTATTACATAAATTGCTATTAGATAAAAGATATATTTCTATTAGATATTTTACTATTAGATAAGTGTTAAATAAAAAAACCGGCCAAGTGAACTCGCGCACGAAAGGTTATCATGTCTGATATATGGGAAGCCCACTTAAATATTTTTTATTCAGATTTTTAGTATTTGTTGTTATGGCAGCAACTGAAATACCTACATCTTCTGTAAAATTTTCAACTGTCTAACTATCACGGTTCGTGAGATACATCTTGGTGAACTTGACGATTAGACAGACAGACAAACACGGCCTGTTTATACTGCATCTTTTGTCTATTAAATAGTAACTTGCACTATTTACGAACAACTATTCCGGTGTTACGGCCTCAAAATATTGTGTGCACGGCAATTAACTAACAATATGATATAGACAACAGTTACTAATTATTATTCAATTAAGATTTCGTCTTTAAATTAAGTTACTGACAGAACTATCGCCATTTGTTAAGTATACTCAACAAATAGCGATAGTTCTGTCTCAACTATAATTTTTTAATCAAATATTTAATTGCCCATTTGCAAATCTTACTATTTCGCTCATGCCCAAGAATTTATCTGTAGCCTTTCGTTTGAGGAAATCTAGCCCAAAGAACAAAGATTATCCCGTTTACTGAACCACCGCGACTAATTTATAACCTCTCTTGAAATAACAACGCGAAGACATTTACGGTCTTAAATTGGGTTCAAACGAATACTTTAAAATAATCAATGCAAACTGAACGAGATTAATAACTAAATAATTGAATCTTTATCGCGCGACAAGATAATCATTATTATTATTATCATCATCACCTAATGTTAAGTCATAACCACCGCCCGTTAACAATTGCAACACCCTTTATATGCGTTAGAACCTTTTATAAAGTGGGCTCCGGCGATCTCACACACTAGACGACTTCACGCCGGTCTTCTGTGGTCGTGATACGTACCCGGATCGACCTGCCCATTCATGCAACAGCGAGAACCGTTATGTAGCCCTACCACAGAGGTTTAATAGTTTAGTATCGCAACTAATTGCAAAACATCCTAAGCTGGATGTTCTAGGACAATGTGTTCATGTTCAAACGGACATTGAAATGCTTCATGATCTTGTAACTTTAAGTTTTATTTTATTAGTTATTAGTTTTAAAGTTTTTGCTATGTTTGATCAAAAGTCACACATATTAGTATATACCATCAACTTCTTTTTTGTGTTTTTTCTTAATTATATTTACAATTTTCTGTCATCGAATACTTGGAATGTCAACTGAATATTATAACAATACTTTTGTATTAATATTTAAATACGTTTTCATTCTGCTTTGTGATGCTATGAATAATTAAATAAACTAATTAATCATAACCGGCTATTACATGACCCCATTTTATGTTATGATGTTACCGACAACGATAAAATAAAACGAGTGTGCAAAAATCGTACAAACATCGTTTTTAACGACAGCGCATATACCTAAATTAAATATTCAATTGAATGGGTTAAATATGAAAATCGATGGCTATCTGTTGGTTACAGCTTCATGTTTTTAGACAACAAAACACACGGTGAATTTAATAACGGTGACGGGTACATAGTAAATAACAAGCATCGCCGTAACCACAAAGAATATGGAGAAATTACTTCGACCGCTATCACACTATAAAACCGCATGTATTTAAGCAAACCTATTGCTATTAACTTGTACGCCAATTAACATTTTCCATTCTGCCAATGGAGCAATTCTTAATGTTACGATGAAAAATCGTACAGCAACGTCCTCGGCAAACAGTATTTTGTTAATGCGAAATTTGCTAAAAATCTCTATTAATTGGTTTATTAACTTTTGAACATTGCGTTGATAAATAATGGAATTAAATTCTATGTCATTGTACCTTGATTAGCACTTATCAATCAAGTAGGTTCAATATACACAAAAAATTCCATTAATCATAATTCCTCTCAACACTTATGCGAGACTTCAACGTGAAAGATGTGAATACGCCCCTTCAGTGAAATCAAATTATTGATTTACTTGTTCCTAAAGTTTTGGTGGGTTCATAAAATATATTCCCAAATTCTAAACAACCAGTTGTAGCATGTTTAACTAGTGGTAGCATGCGGTGGACTTTTTAATAGTAGGTACCTATTAAAATACGCTAAAACTGTACAAATGTTAACTACTAGGTCATAGATTTCTCGTAACGTTTACAGTTTACAATCGTGTAAAACGATCCGATGTTGAAATGTAACTTTATAATAATTTAATACATCGCGCTTAACAATGAAGCAATACCTTAAAGGTAAAAATAATAACTAGAATAAGCAGCATAGCAATAGGCTTGCGTAGCACAACAAAATCGTAACTACATGTTGATAATGAAATATTCCTTGTATCGACACGCAACAAAGGTAAAAACAAAAAACGCATGTAACAAGTATCTCTAGTTTCGTAACAAAGAGACCAATGTAATAAGAGTGCTAGACAATCGGTCCAATAGGCAGGTAACAGTGAAAGTGATTAGTGATTCACCAAGTAATCAAACCATGCCCGATGACCATGAAACAACACATTTTAATATCGAAGACATCTTAAGCTTTATTTGTCAATCGTACGCTGATAACGAACACATAACTTGATATTATTACACAAACATGTAACGGTGCATTTATGTTAACTTCTGTTTTTATAGATCAAAAAGGCGTAAAAATCGAACTCACCTTGTAATAAATATCCATGAGGACACTGTCCGGCAGCGATCGCAAATCATTTCGCTCACACTTTAATTTCTGCAAATAGTTCACTAAATTTGTTAAGCACAACTCATAAAGATTATCGGGTATTTTCGTAGAGCGCACCGAGAACGACGCGTCCGCCATTTTGGCGAGGTAAAATAAAACTTGCTTCATTTTGCTCAATTATTTCAGAACATATATCGCAATAATTCGTACGATGTTCAGGCTAGTTCCTTAAATCGTATTGGCCATCAAAATTTATGGTAGATTTCTATTGGTCGTTTGAGTTGTGTTTTCTAGTAGGATCAAAAATAAGTGGCCTGTTTTGCCACCGCTTAGTGGTCATGTGATGAAGTACAAAACACGGGTTGCGAGAAAGAGATAATTATATGTCATCATGTTTATACTTTTATCAATCAGCTGATTATACGAATACAATGTCAGCTGACAGTGAGTGCGCGGGCTGGTTTGAGCAGAAATGAGAGATTCATTTTTATATATGCGAATGTAATCTTGATAAACATGGTATTTGCAAAACGCTATCTTTTTGATTAAGAATCATGCATACTTACGTGGTTACTTATACATGATGTTCTAATTTTGAATGAGAAAAGAGTAAATATAATTTAATCATACTGCTTTGGAAAATATTAAGGATCTCTTTTTATTGTTAAACTAAGGAAAAAACTATTTGTAACTTTTAAACAAACGCGACATGTTACACATTTGTTGTCATAAACAGAGATAAAGCTAGACTGCAACTAAACTGCTGCGACGAAATAAAAAAAATGCAATATATACCGTAAAAATTTAGCCGGTAACTGAAATTTATCTTAGGTTTAGTGACTGAATGAACTAGGTAGTATCGGCAGTCGGCATACAATATAAGCATGTCTGCATGCATCTTTAGTCTTTTGAGTATAGAGAATATTGTTTTGTTTCCGTTATGTTCAAGGCGGAACCTCTAAGACGCTACAAGTTCTGAACACTAGACTAGTGTTGATCACTCGATAACCTGATACTCTTTTCCACGTGTTTCAGTCCACGGCGTTCTTAATCACCGGTGGTAACTTACGAACGTATTAATTTTTATGTAAAATTTTTGACATTTCATAAGAACGCGCAAGGGTCTATGTGAATAAATACATTTTTGATTTTAATAGCTTTGTATATTGTCAGGATAACCATATGCTCTATCGGTAACCATGTTAACTATTTATTCTATTGCTTCTGATTGGATTATTTGGGCGTCACCACCGATAAACTATGTATTCATTTTTTTATTTCATATCAATAAAATAATTTTTAATTTCCCAAGGCAGGTAATCGATGAAGTTGAAATTTTGTGTCATTACAAAATACTTGTCCTACATAACTTATTAGCAAGTCTTCGCCCTTGTTCGGCAGGTCCGTCCGGGTACGTAACACTACCTCACAAAAGACCGGCGTGTAGTGGAAGTGTTATACTTCTGCGTTTCGTCTGGTGAGTGAGGTAGCCGGGTCCCATCTTATTATAAGGGGGCAACGCATCCGCAACCCTACGGGTGTTGAAAATGTCAATAGGCGGCTGTTATATTTTAAAATCAGCTGAACCACAAGCTCGCTTGCCACCTTCTCACAAAAAAATTCAATTGTGTACCCAATTTTTAATCTACCATGATGATGTAATGGCGATTGGACTAATTTTGTGAATATCATCTCAAGCGCTTTATACAGATAATACATCTGTATTGCCACCACCAACATTTCTTTTCAATTTTTAGTAATGACCAAAACTCAAATTATATTAAGCTCCAGTAGTTTTTTTTATCATACCAATCTTGCTCTGCCGTGCACCATTCAGGCTGGATAGTTTAGCCTTTAATAACGTTTATAAAAGTGCTTGTTTCGCTTCATATTTTATAACTACTTGCTACTTGCAGCAACCTGTCTCTTGCACCAGTGGGTGTGGGTTCAATCCCCACTACTGGAATAATATTGTATGATGAAGTTTTCCAGTGTCTGGATTTTTGTATATGTAAAATTGATTTATTTACAAATGAAAAATATATTAAGGTATCAGTTTTAGTACCCACAGTACAAGCGTTATTTAGTTTAGGACTAGAGAATGTCGTGTAAAAATTTGTCAATTTTCAACAAAATTTGTCAAAAATTTTGAAACAAATCCAGCCTATGTTTGTCCTTACCCCCACTAAATGGGGAGACTTGAAATAAAATAAAGCACCTCTATTGGATAATCTTTATTCAAACTAATTAAGATTACTAACTAATTATTTCAACAAACACAACATTGTATATGCTGGGCTATTTTAAAGCTTTCCTAGAGCAAAATAAATGCTTCAATCCTTGAACAGTTCAATGAAATATAGTATAGTATTTGATAGCAAATTTCATTCGAAGTAAACACCACTTTGGCAAATTTGAATTAAAATAAAATGTCTACAAACAATCTCATCAGAAAACAGCGAAAAAATTATTCTTCTTCTTTTTATTAATCAGCCAATGTCAAGTTGTTCTTAAACTTTTTTTTATAATATTCAATTAAAAATGTAATAGACAAATAAAAACTTCAAAATCGAATTCCCAATCAGCAATAAACTATATTTATTTTTCAAATGGGTCCTAAATATTTATTATTATTATTATAAATGTTATTATATGTTTTTATTTTATATGACAATGGTTTTAATTATGTTACTAGGTTTCCGAGTGTCACAATGAGTTTAACACTTGCATATCATCTTCATATTTATAATGTCAACAAAATAATTGTTCTACTCTAACATACAGAAATATACAACTATTCATATTGAATAACCCTGGAAAGGAAAAGAGAGGTTTGAAGGTTATATTTCCACTTTCACCAAAGCAGGTTTACTTCTCCATGCCTTATTCTTGCTTCAAATTGTTTACTGTTTGCCAATGGTGAACTTTGAAATGCCTTCCAGCATGTTTATGTATGCAGTGTGCTCATAGGCCGTGCTAAAATCTGATAACTTCTGGACAAATTCATTGCTCACACCCTTCTCTTCTAGTAGATTCATCAGCAGGTCATAGAGGTACTGAAATTTTTTTTTATTTATTTAATACAACCTTAGACTATCATTATAGGTACATAACCTAATACAATATTGCAGCAATCTACAACATAAAGAAAACTACTTATTAGAAGGAAAGTTATAATTTTTTTAAATAATCTTATAGTAGGTACGAAAAAAATAGGTAAGCATTAAAAAAATGTCAAAAAAGTAGCATGTTTCATAGCATTAAATTTTGCGAAAATATACAAGTAAAATGTCTAACAAAATTTTAATCTAATTTTAAGTTGTTCTTATGTACCATGTCAATGAATGAACCTCATACAAACAAGGGTCAACTTCACATCAATGCATTCTGTTTACCCCATTTTCGGCACCTGATAAGCTACATGTGTCATAGTATCAAGTGTGGCGTAATAAATGGGGCATGAAAAAGAGCTTTTGCGGGCGAGTCCCGAACCCGCGACCTGGGATTTAATAGTCTTGCTACTCAACCACTAGGCCATTCAAGCTACATTTGATAGGGTGAAAATTTGGTTGCAAATAAACCATTAAATATTTTTATTAAATAATTCAAATACAATAGAAAATGTTTAAAAAATTTGAGTGCAGTATTTTATATTATGTTTATAAGTTGATAAATCATTATTGGTCATTTACAAACAAAAAATTTTGAAAAATAATTTAACTAACAACAACCATATGTGTGCATTATAATTACTGCAATTTCTAGGACAAAACAAAATTACAAAGCTTTGCCAAGCCTTTCATCAAATAGTTGCCAATTGACTTATTGCCTATAACATATATGAAAATACTATCATAATATGAATTTGTAAAGTAAGGTGATCATAATCAAAATGTCAACTAGTACACGTAATTTCCCAGTTCAGTTATAAACTCATTCACAATCAGGTTACACTGTTTTCATGTTCTTTTATCGAAAATATTTCTGTTACAGTAGGATTACATTATCCAAATTTAAAAAAGTCACACTGTGTTATAAACTGGAAATATTGGACAAGACAACGCTACATTATAATACTAGTTGTAATTCGTAAGCGAATACCAACCCCATCAAGAACATCACCAGCAACAGCATAAACTTTGTCGGACCACTCCCCTTTGTAAAGAGTTATTTCATCAATACCGAAGATGTCGCCTGAAACAAAAACCAAAATATAACAGACCCATTGATTAGCCATGATAGCCCAGTGTCTAGACACTCACTTTCAATTCAATATACTTGAGCAACCTGAGTTCAAATTCCAGTGTCGGCACTAATGAAATTTGTAAGTACAATTTTAAGTGCCGATTTATTACATACACACTCTAGAAGAAAAATCACAAGACACCCCAGATTTGCAAAGCAGGAAAATTTTAAGAGACAATATATTAAGACTGCAAATCGAAATTAAAAAAAAACGAATTGGAACATATTATATCGGCAATTACTTTACTTTACATTGTATCAATTATTGCTTAGCACAGGGTGGGGAATTAATATAGAAAAAATTATACATACTGTACTCATCACCAGGTGTCGGTGGCTCTTGCAAGAAGGAGCAGGTGAATCCTAGAGTGCTGTCCCCTCGAACCAAGTCAACTTCAAACTGGGGCTTAGAGCGCATCTCTGTAAACTCTTGCTTATCTGGCTGCACTTCTCCCTCTCCAAAATCTTCAGAGTCAACAGTGTGGTTCACATTGAATGTGATTCTTACACTGTAATACCAAACATTTGTCATACAATAGAATTCAAATAACAGCTGTAGTAGGGTCACATGCAACAGCGTCAACTGTTGAATGAATCAGGCAGCGTAAGTACCGCAACCACACAGAAGACGGGTGTGAAGTGTTGTACTTCTGCGTTTCGTCTGGTGAGTGAGGTAGTCGGGGCCCACTTTAGTAAAAAGCAATGCACCTGCATCTCTATGGGTGTTGCAAATGTCCATGGGCAACGGTTATCACTTGACATCAGGTGAACCGCCAGCTCCGTTGCCACATTCTCACAAAAAATAAATCCAAACTGCACTCACCAGAGGCAATGAGGCAGTGTTATGATCTTCAAGTAGAAATGTAATTAGTTTTACAGTTATTGAGAACAAACAATGGCTTAGATGAGCATTGATGCGAATAGTTAAACTTCAACACAGGGGTATGTTGGTTTGGTAGTCAGTTTAGCATAAATAGTCAGGCACGTCTGGGGAAGTAGCACAGCCTCACAGAAGACTGGCATGAAATGGAATTATTCATCTGATGAGTGAGGGTAAACGGGCCCAAGTCAAAACATCTAAATAACCTCAGATTTTGTAGATGTTCATGCAGCGGTATGCAATATTTATCAACTAAAACGCCGGCTTGCTTGATAACTTACACATAAAAAAAACACTAATGTATTTACCATCTAAATATTTGTTCTAGATACCAGTGATTATATTATTAAATTAGCAAATGTGTTAAATAAAAGTAAGACTCTTACATTTCATCTTTCAACTGCTTTGTGAGGACAACCTCAGCTCCATCTCCCTTCACTATAAATCCTTCAACTTCTGTTGGCAGCGTCTTCAACTTTTGTGCTTTACGTTCTGCCACAATTTCTTCGGTCAGGAACTCAACCAGTTCCTTCTCACCTACATTTTAAGCAATCCTATACTATATGGAACAGTAAGTAAACACAAAAAATGGACTATTTTTGCATTTTTTTATGATTGGTAACTTAAAACTGTGTTTACAATACACAGTTTTAAGTGTATACAAATTACAATCTAAATACAATTCTATGACTCCCTGTCAAATACAAATGCCATGTCAAGTAGGGACAATAAAATTTTTTTTGGAATTTTCATCTCTCAATCCAATCTCAAAAAGTTAATAATGTGAATAGCAAGAATATAGAAAGTAGTAATAAATATAACTGTTTGAATAATAAATAAAAAAAGATTATAATCAAAAAGAAAATACTCAAATAGAAAATAAAAGTATGGAATCACTGAAAATATTGTCTTATATCCTTATGCAGAAACAAGGATGAATAAACCTTGCCTCTGGATGAAAACATAAAATTCTTTACCCTGAACTTATTCCTAGAGTACTAAGATTAATTACTCTAGTGCGAATTGTAAAGCAGGGATGTACATGACTACTAATGTTTAAGAATTGTGAGTAACAAGTTAAAATATAAAGTAATGTAATGCAAACAATTATGTGTAGTCAGTTATTAAGTACCAAAATATCAACTTACCTAACCAACTAGCTAATCTTTAAAATATTTTGGTAGAAGTGTCTAATGTTAAAGCTAACCAGGAAATTTGATTCGGAAGGATAGGATGGGAACTTACCAAGAGGTTTGGGCTTAGTGTACTCATTTTGCTGGTCTGTTTAAAAAAAGGCATAAGACATAAATCATAATTAAATTGCAATTTTTTTTTAAATTATATTTTTAAGTAATTTAAAGTGAATTTTAGGTAATTACTTACAAACCGCTATTTTTTTTAAATAAATTTAGATTAACCAAGCGTGGTGTAATCACATAACCTATAATTTAGGCAAGTACACAAAAATACCTTTTGTGTGAAGCGCTTTCAATCCGCAGCCGCAACTGCAAGCATTAGAATGATTGTGTAGTAAACTTGACGTCGGAGGACCATCTAAACGTTTGGAGCAACTCATGTGCCATATTCCTCTGGTGAAGTCACGTTTTACGGGGGCTTGAGATCGCGACACTAGAGCGCTGGTTATGCTTGTGTTTTTAACGCAATTTTGAATGACCCTATGCGCTGTTTTAACCAAACCGTTCATCTTAACGACTTTTTCGTCTATCTAGTGCTAATTTGAGAATTAATTGAAAAAATGTCAAAAAGAATACCACATTAAATTCGCACCGGGTTGAAATGAAAATTTCAAATTTGAAGTTGCCAGTACATAACCACAGACCTTTATTGATACTTGATAGCGTTGCCGAATCGCAGTAACAATTGAAGTCAGATTATATTTATAATTTTTTCTGTGTAAGGGTTGCTTGTTAGCCCTAGATTCGGGAAGAAAGTAGCTGGCGCATGAGGATGATACAGCCTGTAGGCGAGAGTTAGAAAACCGACTAACACTAACAAGGCTTACCTTGTTATCTTAAATTTACACCATACCTTCATTTCAGTTAATAGGCCCTATACCATGGAAGTATAGAAGTGAGGCGCGTATATTTAAATAGGTTTTGATACCAGGGTACACTCGATACGTCTTAGGACTAAAAATCATAAAAGAGCAAAAATGCGTATAGGTATTTAGAAGTATTGACAAGTCGTAACTAATAAACGCAAACTAATTGGGAAATGTAACGAATTGCATTTGATACTAGGTACTTCTTGATTTACAAGACTCGTACGTTCTATGGAAGTATATGTGAGTGCGATGAATACCAATGCCTAATGATAATCGACCTTATGGCATAGAAAGAACGAAATGGGACGACAACTTGGATTCAATATTTCGTATATTTGTAATTCGTTTCACTATAGCCATTAGTATTGCTTTAGTAGTTAAAGTTGTTGTTCATACTTTGTCTTATGTAACAGCAGAAACTTGCCGTGATACAGCAAAAGCTAAAGTTTTAAAGTAATAAATATTAATTGATAATACAGAAAAACGAATGTAAATTATTGTTTTTATATTCGTGGAGCTCGCCTTTGGAAGGCGTATTTATACTTACTTGTACTCGAACACTCTGTACGTGTTTTAACTATTAAGGCTCACCTCGAATGGTAATATTGTCTGGTAGTTGAATGGCTTACGAATATTTAATAACGAAAACGAATAACTTATCAGAATTAAACCATTAACGTAAACACAGTATATAATCAATTCACCATAACAAATTTGGCAATGAAAAAAATCGATACCTACACATCCATAGTGGTTCAAAAGCTACCAGACATTCAGAGATTCAGAGGATTTCGTCTGTATGCTACAATACGTACACCACGTATATGCCGGTGAACAAACCGAAGCGATGTGTGTGTTTGCCATACAAGTGGCGAGTTCCGAATTAAGCACGGTGGGACATAAAAGGATAGTGACCCGATCGGGTCTATGTTTCCAAGTTCTAGAGTCGATGTGCAGTTGGACGATAGATTATTAAGCGCATTACTACGTTGCCTGAATCATCAAAAACGCTATCAGGTCTGTGTAATCTAGGATATATGGTCCGAGGGGTAGCAAAGTAGATACCGAAAGCTTTAATCAATGTTGGATGTTGACTTTTTTGAAATTTATTACTGTGGTGGCAGCCCGCAGGTACCACGGAGTAAAATGAGCCCGTTACTCTTCTACGGATTGATTTCAGTGCGCCACTTAAACCATCCAGCGTTTGGTGCACATTATAAGCACAATGAAAAATATTCGGCTACAGTCTTTGTCCGAATATAAGAGAGCGGTCTGCAAAAACTACGAGGTCAACATGTGATAAAATCAATGTCAATATGTGAAAAAAAGCAAGGGAGAGAGGCAGGAGCCTTGAGAAACGCCCACCACAGGGTCATAGAAAAAGTCGTCCCAGCTCAGCTTGGTATCGGAAAGAGCGATTCGGCAAAAAGGTTTGAATGGTGTATGAGGTACAAGCTTGTCTGGCACGTTAAGTGTATGCAACTTGTAGAGCAAGACAAAACGTGTCGAATGCTTTTGCGACATCGAAGTGGGGTACACCAATATTTTTTTTTTATATGATTTACGTACTAGATTAACTCCAGCATTAACTGCCGAAAAGTTGAATACTTCCTATAAATTCTGTGTGATTCGCACGCCGCCGAGCTGAGGTCAGCAATCGTTAAAGAAAGGTAATAAACCTACAGTCAATGTCAACTGTCAAATTCACGTGTCGACTGTTGTTGTGAATTTTTCGTAAAATATAACATTTTATCGTCAACGTGGATCTTCAATAAATATATACGATATGGCCAAGAAAAGAAAGATAAATATTGAAGGAAGTCATTCTAAGCCACAACAACTCTGCCCCGTTGAAGTTATTGTAGAAGATGTAACTACGCATCCCTTATGTCTTCATGGGCCAACTTTATTGTTTTCTTCAGAGAAGGGACGTTATTTTGCATGTTCGTTATGTAGAAAGAAACAAGATTGTACTGTTCATATCGAGGAGGAAGACTGGAAGAAGGAGAATGTCCGCAAAAGAAATGAAAAGTACTATGCTCTTATTCCTAAAATTGATAAACCCGCGGCGTGGAAAAACTTCAATGAGGTTAGGATTCCTGTATCTCTAAGTTTTTTAGTGCATAAATTCTAAATTCGGGCAAAAATAATATAAACAATTTTTTCTTCTGTTTATATACTTTATACTTAAGTTTTATACTAAAAGAAAAAAAGGTTAAGGAAAATAATTTCGGATTCAAACTATTTTTAAAAGCATTTGTTACTCCCAAAAGTTTTTATATTGTAAATAAAGTAATGTTCAATATCTATGGTTTACATATTTATTAAACTAACTTGCTAGAAAAAAAATTATGTACCTATGTAAATCTTGAATTTTCATTAAACAGAAATTTATTTTATCTTTTCAGATTAAATCAAAGCATGCAACCAACAGAGCATATTGCAATAATTGCCAAGAGTTATACATTTTTTCACAAACCAAGAAACATTTGAAGGATCACAAAGTTGTCACTTCACTTACCGATGAACAACTTGCTAATCCAACCACATGGTTACCACCTCTTGAGAATGATCAAAGGGAAGCACAATATTTATTTTCCAAGAAGTCAATCAGTACAGTTTTGGGAATATTGAAAAATAATAACATTAGGTGAAACATATTTCCCATTAAGATTGTTATCATTATTAAATGCTGCAGTGCAGGGCTTTGCATCCTTCGTAGTCATGTACACTTTGTAATAAAGAATAATAAAATAAACCTTTGAAATAAAATTTTTACAGGGACTGATAAACTTTGTTTCTAACTAAATATTAGCTTATTTATTTTAAAACACATAAGGTGTCTCTGTAATCTGAAAATGGGTATCTTAAAATTTTGTCATGACCATGACTCAAAAGTCTGCTTTAGAATTTTCCCTCCATTCATTTCATTTTTGTTGTAATTAGTGGTGTTGGGTACATAAAGTATGAGATCACTAAGGGTCCTGGACTATTTGTTAACATACCGCAGTCTAACAGTTCTCATTACAGGACCATTTATTCAGTCTTATTAATAAACATCTTTATTATGTATAAGAAGGAATATATGTTTTTCATTGTTGAACTTATATTTTTCTAATGTTTTAGGAACATCCTATGTGTGGGGACTCCATCAGTACATGAGGTGGCACAGGCACATCCTGACTATGACTCTTTACTTCTGGACTATGACACACGTCACCACCTGTTTCATGCACCTAACAAATTCCTCTGGTATAACATGTTCAACAATTACCTGTTTAATGGAAATGAGGATGAAAAAGTCCTGACGAAATTTTTCAAAAGTTCAAAGTAAGGAAATTCAATATAAATAATTATATGTATATTGTTAAGTGAATAATTCTTCAAAATCAGATATTATAAAAACATACATATTAAGAAAAATGTAATAAATACTGATGTTTATGTGCATAAAAGACAATTGAGAGCCACACTCAGTGGTTGGTAATTTGTAATACTGCTTGGCTTTTTATGGGTGGCAACACTCACCATCAGGAGAACTGCTTCCTCAGCTGTCATAAGTATTTATTATTTACATTTAAATTTAAGCAATAAAGGCACCACTGTTATATAACCCCATAACTACCATTTGATTGCTTTTTCAGAGATAGAGGTTTATGCATTGTCATGGACCCTCCGTTTGGTGGCAGGGTGGAGCCATTGGTACAGACCATCAGAGAACTGTCCACTGTGTATAGGAAAGTTTGTGATGGAGAGGGACTGTTGCCTGTCATCTGGGCTTTTCCTTATTTTTCCGAACCCTATATTCAAAATCTTGAGCCGGAAATAAACATGCATGATTATCGGGTAGGTTTTTGTTATTGTGAGGAGGAAATTTATCACTTTTTAAATAGAGGAGGGATTGGTCACCAGCTGGACCACAAACTATGTAAAGCTTATTCATTTAATTTAAATCTAAAAAATTTTACATGATTTTTTTAAACAATTTGTAAGAGATACCTGTTGATATTAATTAATAATTATGTTTTCCGCTTTATTTTCTAGTTTAAAAAGATATTTTTGATTTATATACTTTACTCAATAAATATTTAAAAGTTCGCGTCGACTTTTACAGGTCGAATATCGCAACCACAAGAGGTTCCAAAGCGGCGGCGTGAAGCTCGGCTCGCCGGTGCGTTTCTTCACGAACCTACCCTTTGCGTCCATTAACCTCTCAAACGACAGCAACTACAAACACTGCGACAAATGCAAGTGCTGGGTGGTGCAGAGCAACGCGCACTGCAACAAGTGCAGGCGTTGCACGAGCAAGCACGGCGCTACGTATAAGCACTGCAACGTCTGCAAACGCTGCGTGAAACCGACCTACGAGCATTGCAAGGCCTGTGATCGGTGTTGCCATGTTAAACACCAGTGCGGTGTGGTCGTCGAGTCTCAGGTGTGTTATTAAATAAGATTAATAGGAAATTATTATTATAAATTTTTGACCACACTAGCAGGTTTTAAGCTGATGGGTCTTGAGGCTGTCTAGTCTACTCTTTAAACTATTGACTGATTGTGTATAAATGGTTTCTTCTGAGGTTAATAAATTTTGCAGTGCGTTCTTTTTGGCTTTCGTGCGACACATCTTTAGTGAATGATCACTCAGATGCTTGTTCTCAGAAAACTGGAATAGGCCTTGCAGAACATGTACATCATAATATCCTTTTGGTATCTTGTAAATCTCAATTCCATTCCATTCTTCTGCGCTGCTCTAGTGTTGTGAGGTTCAGTTATTAGTCTCTGCTCATTAGATAGGATTAAATAATTTAAATATCTTTATTCCACAAGACCATTACACTAATTTATTGATAGTCAAAATATTACCACTAGACCGGAAAAGAAAAGCCACTGACCTGAGAAGAACTGGCGAAAGAAATTCAAGTTCCATTTTCTTTTTACAATTTTTTACATTATGTGACATGAATATATTAAATACAATATAAAAAGTCTGATTGAAAGTGCCTGGAGCTATCAACTCATTCCCGGAGAGTGTTATCATTTAAATAATCATTAATATTAATTTTAATTGTTTTAATTTGTGTTGATTTTTCAAAATAGTCCATTTAACCATACACATGACTTTTACATTAATTAAGACGTATTTACGTTTTGACTGGCCTATGTAGATAGATTGATCTGAATAGTACCAAACATATAAATTAGGGTTCAGGTATGTCCAGCCAAAATGTTTAAAGCTCACTTCACAGCTTTATAAAAATAATCCACTGAAAAGCATTAAGCAAGCAAGATTTATTATAGTTTCAGCTAAAGATTTTTTAAAACGAAATTTGTTAAAATCTTTTGGTTTTTAAGCTTACATATACTACCGATAAATTTTAAATGTTTACAAAAATAAAAGTAAATTATTTTTTACCTTCCGATTGTTTCAGTCTTGTTACAAGTGTAATGAGAAGGGGCACAAACAATCACAGTGTCCAGTATCAGAAGACATCACTAAGAAGAAACGTAAAAATGCTTGATTGAAATAAATGATTTCTACACTACAGACTTGTTTTCTTGTTGTATTTCAGAGTGTACCCGCGAATTCGTCCATGTTAGTCACGTAACGGAAGTAGCATGTAAAAATGCTACTCAATCAATCAATCAATCATCAAAAATGCATGTAAAAATGCATCATCAATCAGTTTTTTTATGTGAAAAGTTGCCAAACAAGCAGACTGTTCACCTGATGTTAAGTGAATACTTATAAGTGAGAACTAATTTTAACACAATCTAATATATAACATTCTCGTGTTACGGTGTTTGTAATTAAACTACTTCGAAACTGCTCGACCGATTTTCGTGAAATTCCGTGCATATTGGATAGGTCTGCGAATCGGACAACATATATTTTTCATCCCCATAAATGTAAAGGGATGGTTCATCCCTAAATTTTATATTTTGTTGTTTTTATTTTATTATGATACAACATACATAAAACCCTAAATTTTCACCCCTCTACGATATACCCCCATTCTTTATTTGTCACTACATAGTATAAAGCAAAGTCGTCCCACTGTCTGTCTCTATGTATGCTTATATCTTTAAAACTATGAGTGGTTCAAGAGGAAGGTTAAATGTATAATACACTGTAGCCGTGCGAAGCCTGGGCGGGTCGCTAGTTTTCTTATAATAATTAATATTGAAATAATCATACTAGCTTATGAAAAGACTTTTATTTCAAAATCATGGACAGATATACTATAATGTTATTTATTTTTAGAATAGATTTAATTTTAGGTTCTCCTTGAGAAAAATTTATGACATTGTCATTACTAGAGCATTCTTATGAATGTATACTCATTCAGTAATAAATTTTACATTATTAAATAGCAACAGTAAGTATTTAAATATTTTACTCTGTCTTACGATAGGGATAGGGATTTTACAATAATAAATCTGCTTTAAAAGTAATAACAACACGCATTTTCATTAATTAAGAAATCATCTACATTGACTTGTTATGCATACATTAATTATATAAAATCATGATTGAGTATATACACAAATCAAATATATAAAAGTGTTGACAAATGTAAAAACAAACGACATGATACAGTAAATGAGTTATAAAACTTAGTGACGTTATAAGTGCTATCCTAAAACTAACATATTGATTAATCACATATAAATTAATCCAATCTAAAATTATAAAAGTAGAAATTTATAAATTATTTTAGTCGTCATATGAGTCTTCACTTTCCTCCTTTAATCATAATGCACTGCAATAAGAAAAGAAAAATTAAAATTAGATTAATTTTCATGTAATGTACATCAGTTAGTAGAAAATAATTGTAATTTTTATTTACGAATGCATTCATTTTTCACAACATGCAGTTAATTATTTTCCCTGACAAACTAAATGTGGACTTCTAATACAAATGACGATGTTACTACTTACTTATGTACGCGCGTGAGAAGTTATACTTCTTTGGCATCATTAAAAAATAGTTTTTAATTGTATGCAGGTAATTAATTACAATAAAATAATAAAAAGACTGGAAAAGGATATAAGTAATGAAATTATTAAAGCGCCATCTACATTCTTTATTGAGAACTGTAAAGGGCGAATGTGAATGAATTGAGAATATACTGGCATCTATAATAAGCAGTTTAGCAAGCAGCTTCAATTCAAAGGTGTTACTATAATGTTACAGGGATGTGTAAATGTCGATGGGAGGCGGTTATCATTGAACAGGTGAACCGCCAGCTCACTTGCCACATTCTCACACATAACCTTAGTGAATAGTAACCAAGTATGTAATCCAAATATATTGTGGCCACTCACTTGACATTGATGCTGTTCAACAGCCGCTGGGTGTCGGCATAGCGCTCCTCAACTTTGGCAGCCTGCTCGAGCCAAGCACTCCTCACGGCAGTCCAGCGCGCGAAGTGCTCCTGCAGGAGCTGTTCCTTGGAAGGTGGTGGGGCCTCACGCTGAAGTTAGCATAAAGTCTAACTTTTATATCGCACCCGGCCATTGGTGATGCCACATTGAAATGGATTTGATTTAAAATTGGGTTGTCATAAAATATTCAGTTACATCTTGTATTCACACAATAAGTAAACATTTTCTTATTCAAAACAATATAAAATGATAAACATTGTTTTAAAATATTTATCCCGTCCGTTTGAATTGACAAAGACGTAAGTAAAGAGTACGTAAAAGAAATATGTTTTTTTGTCATAGCAATAGTTCAAATGAAAGCCGATAAGAGAATAAATTTCTCAAACATAAAACAGGTTAGCCAGCAGAGGGATTTAGCTATTTTATACTCAACTTACATAGTTCAAATTGATTTTATCTTTGTCACACGCTTTCTGCTCTGGTATCAGGTCCGGTATTCTTGAGATATGTGGTCCCTCTGGTCCAGGCAGGTCCACGCTGTCCTCTTGCGGCTCAGGTTCTGGATATTTATTTCTGTAGAATATTTCTCACAGGTAATGGCTTCCAATTTAACTTATTTAAAAAATTTATTTATAATTATGAATAAATTAAATAAAAAAAAATAATTGTGCAAAACAAAATTAGATACATTATAAATTAAAGTTATAAATTAGATACATTTTTTTTAACTAATATACATTTTTTTAATTGATGAATACTTTTAGTTTTAATACTCCACCACTATTATTAATTTTTTTTATTGTGTAATAACATTAAGAAATAAAAACAAAATGTTTGTGAAAGCTTTTTTGTTATTGCTATTTATGTATTCGTACAGTTATAAACAAAGAACTGTATGTTTAATGTGATGACTCGATCAATGCAGTAATTCACTTCAGTGCCACAAGTCTCGAGTTAAATTTTCACACAGGACATGTATTTATGAGAACTGTGAGTGCTAGTTCTGGATCTATTATTTGGTTTGCACTTTCTAAGGTACATTGAACTTAAATTAATAGTTACCCAAAGTTGCTGTAGTTGGCTTTCGGCTGATTTGCAATCCATGCCCTGCATATAGGATACAGGGGCGAGTCTTCACTGAACTGAGAGAGGTCTACACTTCTATCAAAAAGTTTCAGCACATATGATTGCCTAGCTGGAGACAGTTTTCTTACAGATTTCTCATCTTCCTCAGATGCATATTCTCTTGATGGGTCTTGACTGGTTCTTCTGAAAAAAATTAGTGTTTATTAGTTATAATCCTTATATATCTCATATTTTTATTGTTATGCCCCAATAATAAAAATTTAGAATTTTTAAGAAATCTTACTAAGTAATTATTTCTTTTTCCACAAAAGAAATAAACATACATTCTCAAAAATAATTTTTTTCTATATGTAGGAAGAACTTTTAAAATAAACAAACAAAACTTACTGTACATTTTATGCTGCCTAACAAGTTTAGCCTATAATCTAACGCGGATTTCAATTTAGGTGGCTTTTTAAAACTGGATTTATAGGTGGTATGTATAATGACGATATATTAATAGTATTTTACAAAACCCAAATAATACCTATATACAAATTAAATCTTTTGTTCTTTTTTTAAATTTATTTATTTAGCTAACAAGTAAGGTACCTCTCTCGTTTAACAGGGCTGTGGCCAGAGGATCCATCAGATTCATCTCCTAGAACTTCCATCAAAGCACCTTTGAGGCGACCGCGCGCTGTGGACACTTCTTTATCTAAAAGTAATATATATAAGTGAATTGAGAAGATTCTCAACAAAAAAAGTTAAAATTAATATTATTTCTCTTTTTAAATGTAATCTAATTGATTGCGTGTATTTTATGTATATGTATATTAAGGGTTTTCATAAGTTTAAATTAAATTGAAAAAATACCTTTATTATCATCATATTCTACTTCACTATTCGTCTTTATTTTATTCTTCATAGTTAGTAGTCTTATTCTCTTCGGCATTTTAGGAAGATTAAACTATGAACTGCTCAAAAACACTCTAAAATATACTCAAAACTTAAAATTGTAAAATTAAACAAAAAAGTAAACTATTCAATATTCGCATAAAATGACATATTATTTTAATCACAGATTCACAGATTACAACTTGTGTCTTGTATGTTGATAATCCTAATGCAAAGACAGAATAGCTATTATTACTAAACATTTATTATTGACGATAATATAACATTTCATAGTGTGTAAATAATACATATGAATAACACTACGTTATTTCATCAAAATTAGAAATGTATATATTTTTAAGTATAAGATAAAAACCTTTTTTATCTATGACGCCTTATCTCATGGCACACTCAGTTTCAAAAGTCAAAACGGTTTGTGAAAAGTTTAACATTTTCTGTTTGACTCTGTGGTAGTATTGCATGGATACGAAAATAATACAGGGAACATAGATAAAATAGAGAATACTAATATATGCTACTGACAGGGAACAAGTTCCCCTGAGGATGTTATTATGATAGCTTTTAGACTTTGATAAATAAATAGTAATTCTGAAGCAGAAATGGCTACAACGGCATACGAGCATGATGCTGATGGTAACAATTAATTTCTTTAGTATTCATTCTTTCACGTATGTCTTCTTGAGTTGTTTCGCAACTCTGTAGTTTGTAGGATGATAAAAAATTGTTCAGATATGTTCTTGTTGGGATATTCGGATTAGCATTATGCATTTTATTGACTTATATTGACAGTTTTATTTTAATTAAGATGCTGTTACCAGACTTTTATACACAAAACTTTATTAACTCTTATTTAGACATTATTTCATCAATTTAGGTTGTAAATTTATACCTGCATCGCAACGTCCTGATGGTACTTGGCGGAAACCGCGACGGATAAAAGAAGGTTATGTTCCCCAGGAAGAAGTTCCTTTGTATGAAAGTAAAGGTAAACAGTTTAAAGCTCGTCAAAACACTGGTATACCTGTTGGACTCACACCAGAAATTGTGGCCCAAGCTCAGAAAAAGAAAGGCCATGGAGGCACTATACAACCAATACCTGGTATGATTATCAATGTTGATAAGAAGAAAAAGAAAAAGAAGACAGGTTTGTGTAAATGCAGTGCTCAACCAGCATGAACCTTTGAATAATAACAATATTAGTTATGAAATAAAAATAGCAAAAGTTTGTAGTTAGATATTTCTTTAATAAGAATTCTTCGATTCCAGGTGTGGATGAAGCAGCAGACAAATTAGCCAAATGTGAAATAATAGAACCCACATTTAACAACTCAACACCACAATCTAATAACTCAACACCAGTAACAGATCCAGCAAAAAGATTAAAAAACCTAAAAAAGAAATTAAGAGAAATAGAAACACTTGAAGAAAAAATAAAAGTGGGAAGTCTCAAAACTTTGGATAAAGATCAAAAAGAAAAAATGTCAAAGAAAAAGGACATACTCGGTGAGATAGAGAAATTAGAAAGATCTAGCGGAGAGACAAAGCCAAATTGAATTTATGGCAGGATATTCCGATAAAGTTGAATGGTTTTTAATTATGTGAAATTGGAATTTATGAGTTTTTGTGTTCTTTTACTCAAGTATAAATTATTTACAACCATCTGTCATTTTTAATATATATCATCCCTCATTAAGAGTGTCAACTGCTGAAGCAGTGAGAATATAAAATTTTTGTAATCATTCTTTTTTGCAGGATCAACTGAATATGACATATGTAATTGGAGGTTGTAGGTTGAAATCTCAGTGATATTGCATGAGATTTTTGTTGATTTCTTATATGCAAAACTTGGTCAGATACTGCTATACACAGGCTATATCACATATGGGAATATAATCAGCAAACATAGTCAGCTCTTTCACAATTTTAAGTAAATTATCAACATACTATCCATAAACGTCCCATAGCTGGGCAAAGAGTATTAGGGCTTACTGCCAGTCAGTGAAGATTGGCAGTATTAGTAAATTTTGAAATATTTTAGTCAAAACTATCTCAATGACTTCCAAAGTCAAACATTTGCTGAATTCTTTTTTATCAGAGATTTGACAGTGCTATTATATAATATTTGGAAGCAAACCAAATCATGAAGAAAGTGGGTATTCTTAATGATCAATTCATAACACCTACACAGTTGTGAATAGTGTAGATGTTTAAAAAAAACATTTTGCAGTTACAAGAAGTTTTATCACATTTAACTTATAACAATACACAAGATCATAAATACAAAAGTAGTTCTATATCTTAAATATTTCTTTATTTGTTCATCTGATTTGAATATGAAATTAATTAATTTTAATGCATGAACTAAGAAAAAGTGGCCAATTTTTTTTCTTAGTTCATGTATTTTTAAATTTTAATCATATCTTCACTAAACTAGAAGGTTATATCACAAAATATCATCAAATCAGTCATGTTGGAGGTTTAATCTCTTAGGTTGCTTTGTTTGTTTTTATCATTTCAGATGTATTTCTTTGTAGTTCTTATGTTTATGTTCAACAACACATGATATTCATTTAAGTAGATTACAAAGTATAATGACAAGTGTTTGTCACTTATTTTTGAAATCTATACATTTTATTAATCATATGGTACTTTAAAAATGTGATGAATTAACACATACTGAGCAGCATACCTGAAAAAGAAGTGTTCAAAATTTAAATGTACAAATAACAAGGCAAAAAAAAAACAGAACAGTAAAGTAGAACAAACAAGAACCAAAATAAACATTGCAGTTTTTGTTTGAAAGTACAAGTAAAGAATGTAATGGAAGATGTTAACATTACATTAATTAACTCTTCTTCTTTTTTTAAAGACATGAAAGATTCACTTAAATGCCTCTATTAACAGATTATTTTTTATTAGAATTTATACATGGATATTAACTCTTATAATGCCAAGTGTAATGTTTAAAATCATTATGTTATGAAGAGTTCAGATATATAATGGATTCATTGGACGAAGTTTACTTACTTAAAATTCTAAATGAATTCATTCCTCGCTTTCTGCCTAGCGTAATTACCCAAACATGCAAGAATTCCAATTATTGCAATACCAAGACCCAGGACTGTGGCCAGAAAGTCTCCGAAATCGTAGCCTGAAGATGCTTCAACATTGCCGATGGATAATAACGCAAACAATAATATACAAAATTGAACATACATTGTTGTCTTTGATTTCGATTTTGAAATCTGAAAATAACAAAATAACGACGTAGATGCAGTTTACATGAAATAGGTGTAGAAAATATGCTAATTAATTTAATTGTCACAAACACAAATGTCACTATGACACGATTATTTTTTTGGATTTAATGGCCCGGTATCGAGGACCATTAGGGCAATAACCAATGTCAATAACATGATTTAAGATTTAATTTAAATATTCTGTTGTCTGTACTCCGTAGATGTAAAAGAAAACATATAATGCATATCAGAATATTTTCTCGAAAAATTATCGATATAAAAGTAAAGTATAGTTATACAAAAATTCCCTAAAAGCATTATAATTATTTCTTTTGCATTAGACTTAGAGTCATTCTCTGGCTTCAGTCAGTCTTCGTAAGCTGGATACAATAATAAAAACAGTATTGGGAACCACTCTGAATAATAGATGGATGGAATTTAGTTAGATAAATGTAATATGTAGATAATTATACGGAACGGAACTAAGGCGGGTACATACATGGATTGTACGGAAGGTATACGGTGGTCGGTAGAGATGGGTCGTATCGCTTTTTCTGAGTACCGTATCTGAATCAGATTTCGAAACTATGTATTTTAATATCTAGATATTTTACGGTCCCGTATCCACCTTGAATTCTAAAAAAAAAAAAAATGTTTTCAATAATTATTTAGATTCCTCCGGGTTTAAATTTATTTATTATGTTTATATGTTTCGAATTTATTTACCCCTAAATAAATTCGAAAACCCACTAAAATTGATTAAATTCAAAAAACTTACTGAATTTAAAATCACGATTTTTTTATACTATTAAGGTAAAATTAAAACATTACCTGATTAAATTAAAAATTTCATAAAAAATACAAATTGAAGTAATATAAAAATGATTTATTTTAACATCTTATATATCGCTTAATAATAGACTTAAACATATTTTTAGAACACGCAATCATGAGTGACAATATTTTTATAATTTGTGTAAGAAATAATACATTCAGTATTATAACTTAGGGCGGAAGAATTTAAAATCTACACACGAAGCACATAAGCCTTGGTCTGATTTCCACCCAAGCAGCACAGCACTATTAAATTATATTTTTCTTTTTGTGTAGTTTTATTTTTTTCCAAAAATATGAATAAAATTTAACTAATAAAAATTTACCTCCTAAAAAATTTCCATTGTATATTTTTCTTCCTTAATTTAGGCAGAAAATTCTTAAGTAGTAAGTTGGCATCCCTTACTATTACGTGCTAGGTACCAATGCAATCCAGCTCAAGGCTAAACAAAATTTAAGGACATCGTTAATACCGTAATTCGTATTTAAATGCAACAAAGTTTTTTTCCATGCTGTTAAGATTAAAAATTACTTAACTGCGCGTTTTGTCGCCCGTTACGGCTCAAGGCTAAACAAAACAATAAAAATATAATAATATCGTTGTAGTAATCGTTGATACCATGATTAGTATTTAATTGAAACGGATCTTATTTGCATGGTGTTAAGATTCAAAATTACTTAACTTATTCATATTATCTGTTTAAAAATCTGATATTGTGCCTTGCTTGCCGTACTGCTCTAACTAGTGTAATATTTGTATCTCACGCGCTTTGTCACTCAAAATCTGATATCGTGCATTGCTTGCCGTCCCGCTCTAACTACTGAGTATTTATATCTCACGCGCTTTGTCTCTCGAAATCTGTTTAAAAATCAGATATTGTGGCAAACGCGTATGATATCGCGATTCGTGTCGGTATAGCAAGCGAGCACGGTACATCAGATTTCGGAAATATCAGATATTGTAAAATAGATAGATATTGAACGAGCCAGTAAGCGATATTCCGATATTGTACTAATATCTAGTTTTCATATCTGATACGATTTGTATCGCCCACTTCTAGTGGTCGGTGATATTCAGTGTGCTAGAAAGTAGAAAGGTATAAGAGTGAACGGACGCGCTAATTAAGTAGGAAATTTTTAAAGTCGAGTTTGAATATATACATAGCACGGGGTATTTTTATATTGCTCACTTTATTGTAAACATAGGCGGACTGGCCAATATTTTGCCTTCTATTTAAGGCAGTACGTATTACAAGGAAGGGGGCCACAATATTCTTCCTTCGTTTAAGGGTACATATGACATAGGTTAATGATTTTTGGCAGTGTAGAATAAGGTTGAGAATATACAGTTTTCTGACTGAGAGGAAACCGCTGATTTTATAAAGAGTAGGAATCTATAAGGCTTAGAGTACATGACCTATCGTAAAAACTCGAATACCCATGTGTTTTCATGTACATCATTTGCAGTGTACCGAATTCCGAGAAGAGTTGATTCAGGCCGCAGACGTATAAAGTAAAACACATCGTTTACGTTTATACATCTCTTTCATTCAAACGAGGTTTAGAAGTTACCTACTTGATTTTTTTTCCCTTGCCAGTCTCTAGTTGTTTGCTTTGGTGATTTAATGTCACAGTTGAGAAGGAAAGGAAACTATGCTTTGAAAGGCAGACAACGCATCTGCTGCTACTCTTGTATAACGAAAATGGTCTTACATACACGTCTTGCAACTCAGCAGAATTCCAATTGTAAATAGGGAGTGACTCTTTAAAGAAAATCTAAACAAAGAAACGCGGCGCTGTAATCGTGGGATACAATAACTCCATGTTGGTATCGTTCACATTTTTAGTGTGTAATGCTGTTTGTAAATTTTGAATAATTAAGTCGGATTTAGTCATGTGACTATTATAATCTTTGTTGCACTATTGTTCGCATGTTTGAATCTAGAGCATTGATGTAATGTAATCAGGTGTATGTAAGACCGTGCCAGTGAATGTCCATGGCTGGCTAACTCTTTCAGTCAAATTCAAATATTTTAATAACCACCAGGAAACTACTGTATTTGCGCGTTTGCACATTTTCTGACAAAAAAAGAACAATTAGAAGCTCATTTGCCACGTAATATAATTATTTTTGATACACTAGTTTATTGTAAACATTGTGGCTTTAACTATGTCATGAATGGGCATTGGGCAGGCTTTTCCGAGGAAAAATCATGACCTCAGAGAACACTGTCCTGCGTAGAAAGTACTATGCTCTAGTATTTATTGCGTCTGGTGAGTTTAGTAACCAGGGCTAACTCTTTTTAAAGGTAAGCAAATTATATGTAACCATCCAGGTAAGTACACGGTACACATCGTTGTCACTTGAGATTCCGCTTCGTGCTCTCGTACGGAACGGATCTCTCTCTAAGACGGAGGGCTCATGCCACCCGAATAAGTCGCTACTCGCAACTTCGGTTGCAACTTTGTGCAAGCAG